TCCTTCTGTGTATATATCAGAAAGTAGAGGGAAGCCCATATGGTTTGGCTTGGGGGTTTTTTAATGTATGTATGTATAGACAGATAGAAAATCTGTATGCATATACAGATCTGGGGGGAAAAAAATGGTGAAACCATTTGGCTAAAAGCCTCACCTGGATCTTATGGCATCAGTGGTCTCCAGTGACCACCGACAGTCAGAAGGGGAGCAGCACCTTCTTATTTTGTGCCATTTACCATGGGAGACCTCAAAGGCTGCTCTGATTTGCAGCACTGACTGGATTTCTGCATCTGGGAATGACTGGCTAGAGGAAGGCTCTAAAGGAGAGAAGCTGATATGCTGTGAAGGAAATAAAAAAGCTCAGGAAGCTGCAATGACTGTGTTAGATGGGACTTGGTTGAGTTTGAATGGGGGAAGCTCACCTTACCATGTGTTTGATCCCTGTGGTGGAAGTTGCTCTGCAACCTGACTAATGCATCCAGAGTGGTTTTCTCTCTGTTTCACTGCAGTTCCATCACTGCTTTACTGAAACCCAAGTTGTTGCATCTGCCCCCACCCCTGTTTCTGACACACTGTGATTACATGCATTTCTGCGCACTGAAGAGGAAAGGGAGCACAGAGACAGCAAAATGCAGAAGTGTTTTCCTCCCTGGTTTGACTGAGTTCACTACTTTATTCCAGTTTCACTTCTTAACCGTCTAGCTTGCAGTTCATAGCTGAGAGTCTGCAGCAGCCACCTCTAGAGGGACATTTCTGAGTGAGGCTGGTGAGTGCATCTTCTGGTGATGCTGAAAGAACATGAAGTGCTGAGGTTGCAATCTATTCTGAGCCTGCACTGCATCTGCTCAAGGCACAGAGACCTGTAGGAGAGGAGGATCCTCCTCCTGCTTCCCACACTTGTCTTCCTCCTCTGCTGTGTCAAGAGTGTTCCTGTTTATTGGAAAGGAGGAAGGTGGTTTTGTCCTTGAGACAATCCTGATATCTTCTTTCACTATGTTCTCCTTGAGCTTTGCAGAGGGATTTTTACCCAACAGCAGTTGCAAAGGTGGTTCATTAAGACTCAGACCATTGTTCTTGGTACAAGTCTACATTACTTTCCACCTAAGTGACACTTCCAGGTTGCCTAGGCATTCACTGGCAGCAGGATTGGGATTCATTGGCATCTTTGGCTTGCAAAGGCATCAGGAACTGAAGGCAGACCTTGTCTCATCTTTCTGTTCCAAATCCAGTTACAGGTAAAACTTATCCTGATAACTAACATTTTTTACTTAGGTTATTTTCCTTCTTGAAGGAGGTAAGGTGGAAATTTGCTTTAGTTTTAATAGCCAAAGGCAAGAACTCTAATTGTTTAGAGTGCATGTCTTCCTGCAGTCACAAATTCAGCATCTTGGGGGATAAAGGATTTAGAGGATGATAAATAATCTCAAAATTCCTTTTTTCCTTTACTTAAGGTGAAAAATGGTACTTACTGAGTTAGTTGGAGTCAGCTGCATCCATTTCAGTGGTGATTTTCCATTTGTTGTATCCAGCAACCTATCAATATAATTCCTAAATTAATATTTCATTAAGGAATGCAGAGAGAAGTTGGAGGCAGCAATTATTTACCTGATTTAGAACTGGAACATTTGACCCAGCTTCTTCCAGGAAAATAATTACTCTAAGATTTGACCTCCATATCACTCAGGCTGGAGATTTTTCTTAACCAAAGCCCAACTGATGCTTTAGCTTCAGCTCATGGTGTTTCTTACTGATGAGCACTGCAGGCTGATTCTCCCTACAAGGGAGAGCTTTGTCCAGCAGAACTCTTCCAGCAGTGGATCACAGCATGTCACTAGGAACAGGAAAATCCACTTGACTGTTATGATCCTTATGTGTCGGAGGAGTGAAAGACCTTTCAAAAAACAGATGGACTTTCTCTTCTCCAGCTGTATCAGCCCATTGTGTGCTAATTACACTTTAAGTGATGGAGCATGGCTCTTTGTCTTAAAGCACGTTATTAACAGCATCAGTGTAAGCACTCAAACTCAACAGTCATCCTATTGCTTAAATGTGAGAGAATGCACCCTGAGTATTTTTATTATTTTATCTCCAAAACCAGTGTAAGATATAGAAAAAGAAAGTTGTCTTGAGACAGTGGACTTAAAGTTGCTCATCAGGGGAGTGTGTGGTGGGAATCTGTTGAGGATTGCAATTGAGTACAAAGCAGTGCTGAGTCTAGCTCTTTGCTGTGTTTGGAGCTGGATCAATGGAAAATATGGGGATGAACTTCTGCTGGATGTAGCAATGTTGCAAATAAGTAATGAAACCACCTGGTGACTGTCTCATGCTTTCAGGCTTTAATTTTTACATCATCAGGCATGCATGAGCAAGCACGATATTTTGGGCTGGATAGATGCTGCTGTGCATGAGCCATGCTTCAGAGCTTGGCTGCAGCTCTGACTATAAACATAGCACCATCCCAGACAGCTAAGTGTTTTTGCTCTCCTAGGTCTTCTCTTATTAAACCAGACCTCTTGTGTGCTCTGTGGCACAGTCTTCTGCACAGAAGGAAACAGCCAGTGATAACTACTGAGATTTTCTGCTATCTACCTACCTCTGAAGTATTTGAATGTGAAAGCTGTCTGCAGTAGTCTTTGAAAACAGACCATTATGTTGTATGAAAACAGCAGTTTTCCCCTTCAAAATCAAATGATCCTAGCAAAAATGAGAAAGAGGATGTGGTAGAACTACAAGCAATTCACTCTTTAAAAAATGGATTTAGAGTTTGATATTCCCTTACTAGGATCTGAATAGCCTATTCAGATAATATCTGGATATAAATGCTAGATATAATTGCTAGATAGAAATGCTGAGAATGACTAATCAGCAAATTGTACTCTTAGGCTTGCCCAGACACACATTCTAAAAGGAAATTATTGCTATTAAACATTTTCCATTTAATGACTTATGTTTTCAGCTCTTGGAGGCTGCTTGACAAATGAGAAGAAAAAAATCAGTAGGTAACTGAGAAGTTGGCTCACAAGCAAGCTCAGAAATGGTGCAGGTGAAGTCTTTAGTAGTCATTATGTACCTGGAGATTACCATCATCATTTCCATCAATGTAGCTGAGCTGGCTGTGAAATGATGACTGCTTGTGGCTTCTTCAATTATTGTTTTCAACAGCAGAAATAATTTTAAGCCACTATTTTATTATGGGAATTTTGTTCCTTCAATTCTTTCCTATCCACTCTTATCCTTCAAACAGCTACCTCTCTCAATATTTCCTGGCCTAGATTTCAAGAGATCTTTAGAAAGTAGTTAAACTTCTGGATTGCTTTCACTCCTTGAACCCTTGCTTGAACATAGCCACTTGCTTGAACTCTTTTATTTTTCTCTTTTTAAGTCATCAAATTTTTGATGAAAGCGCAGAATCCTGACCCTCATGGTAAATATTAAAAGACAAATATTTTGCATGCAGAACTGTTTCCCTTACCAAAACACATATGTAGTCACGGCACAAAATAGTTTTTATTCCTACATCTTAGACTGGGATCAGGATATTCAAAACATAACAATCTCTTACATTAAGAAACCTGCTGCTCTGTTGTTCCTTTCTCCACAAGAGGAGCTCAAAAGGTTATTCTTTTTTCATTATTCTTAATCCAATTCTTCAGTGGAAATGGATGTTCTTTTTATTGAATCCATTTATTTAATTGCTGCTTCTGGAAAGCTATTTCAGGGCCCACAAGAAGTTAGAAAAGCTTGGATATTTTCCTTTTTATTGGGTTATAAGGTTTGCTGTGGGGAGGTTGGTGCAGAAGTTGTCTAGAAAACTGGTCTTACTGTTAAACCCATCTCACTTTATGCACTCTGGTACACCAGGGGGACAAAAGGAGCATCCTTCTTCCTCACCTCTGTGGGACAGCTCAGTGTCACACATTTTCAATGGAGTATTTTTTTCTTGGTCTGTAATATCTGAGCTCTGTCTGTCACTGGTCACTCTTATGCCATGTTGAGAGCCATGGAAAACCTTTTTATGTGCGCCTTCAAACTCTATTCCTGGAAGCACAGAGCCAATTGGATACAAATAATCTTCTCAAACCCCCCTTGCCTCCCTGGTTATCATCCTTTGTTTGTTGCTTGTGTTTTGGACAGCTGGGCAGGACAGAGCAATATTGTAGTAATAGATGTAACCACCTTGAATGATCCTGGTTTCACCCCTGAGCAGAGAGTGCTGGGGTTTTATTCCCTAGAGGAATTTCCAAGTGTGAGCCCTTAGACTGAGCTGCAGAGCCTCGCTGAGAGATGGCTCTGTTCCCAGAGACTTCCCTGCATGGCCACCCGCTCTGCCTGTCTCTCCCATCGATTTTCCCTCCTGAAAGACAAGCACTGACTGCAGGCCCACTCAGACCGGCGCTGCTGAGGAAGCAAGGGAAAATGAAAGGAAGAAATAAGGTTTTGACTCCAGGCACTGAAGGCAATTGTCATTTTTTTTTTTCCTCTGACACCCGAGTGGGAGTTGGCTGGGATCTGTCAAGCTTCAAGTTCTCACACATTTAGTAAATATTTAGGGTCTGACTCACCACTGAATCACTCCCGTTATTTTTTTACTCTGTTCAGACAAATGGCTCTGCCACTTAGATAACACCAACCCTCTGAAGTCTTCTTACTTTTCATTTAGCATCTCATGGTCATGTGTGCCTGTCCTCACAATACCACCTTCAGGATGGAGAGATGGCATCAGCCCTGGCTGGCAGAGGGACTTGCAGCCACCCGAGTCCTTTGACATGAAATCCAAAACTGGCCAAAAGCTCCAGCCATCAGCTGGTGAGACCCTGGCTCCTTAGTGCCTGGTGGGTCACACACCAGTTCCTGCTGCTGCGTGGGGGTCATTTTAGTAGCTGCACTGCTTGTATTGCTATACCTGGGAAAGCTTCTGTGGAAATCAAGAAGAGCACAATTCCCCCCAAAGATGACTGTGATCAGTGTTCTGTATGTACAGACCTCTGCTTTCATTGCAGGTGGAAGACAGCATGATGGATGTGTATGATTTCGTGTATGAGGAGGTAAGGAGGAACACCTCCAGCTTCAGAAGTCATGAGCTGACAGCCATCCATGAAGCAGTAAGTTGTCTTTTACCTGCAGGAGAAGACCTTGCCCTGGGCTATCTTCCTGAGGGTTTTGGCAGGCTGGAGCTGACATCTGTGCTCTGTCTCATGAATGCTGCAGTGCCATTTTCCCTCAAGAACTAAGTCCTCCAGTCTGCTGTGGAGTCTGCTGTTCCTTTCTTATTCTTCCTTTCTCAGATCTGACCAACCAGATTATCAACAGGAAGAAAGGGTCTCCTGTCTGAGCATCACTTTGATGCAAGGTCTACAAAGCTTCCACCCTGCAGCTGCCATAGTATTTTCTGTCTCAGCAGCTCCTGTGACTTGCTCCCTATCTGTGGTATAAGAGTGCAGATATGCACCTGGTCAAGTAGAGAGGAGGGGGCAGGAATTCCACATAGTCCAGCAGTAGTATTTGCACGTGGTTATTCCTATTTATCCTCAAGTTTGTGTCTGAGGAGTACTGGAGGCTACACGGCCTCTTACAGAGCTGGAGACTGCTATCAGGCTCCCAAAAACCTCTACCTAGGATGCTGTTGGCCTGTGTAGCACAGCAGGTAGGCAAGGGTGGTTACGCAGAGCACAGGGAGGACACTTGCCCCAAAAGCCACAGGAGATGAGTGAGAATGTCCCCCACAGTGAGAAACTCCCAAGTCCCTGCTGAGTAAAGGAGATGCCATTCCCTCACACAGCAGGGCTTGTTTGAGGAGTGAGTTCATGGCACACACAAGGCTGGATGGGGAGGTCAGATCTGCTCAGCTGTTTCCAGACACCTCCCACACAACTCCTCATATCCTTCTGTGTTTTCTTAAATCATCATAACAAGTACTTTTCAAAGCTGTTTCTATTTGTGCTTCTCAAAACACAGAAGAGGTCAAATGTTCCTTTTTGCAGTGGTGGTGGTGGCCCTCAGAGCCATGCCCAGGCATGGAAGTGCTTGCTCTCAGGGTTGTGGAGCATCACTCCCAGGGTCCCATTTGACAAGGAGAACCAGGCATAATGCCTGGCTTGACCAGTTGCTTATTTTAGTTGCCACTTGAAATGATGGAGAAGTATTCTTTCTACTCCTGTTTTGTTTTTTTTTTTTTCCCTTCTGCCAGAGTTCCAAACTGTCCAGTGCACCACAGCTATAGGAAACCAGCTCCCTGGTGGGTGTTGCTGGGGATCCCCTTGGCCCATACCAATCACTGGAAACATGACTCTGTGGATCCATGGGCTTTCTGGAGCAGCCACTGTGAGCATTAGCATGACCACAGAGGAAGGGCTCAGCCCCATCTCAGGCAGCAGTCCTGAGGGAGCATGAGCAAGCTTGAGGCCAGATCCATCCACCTCCCCTGAATTTAGCCTGCATTGCTGCAGTTGTTGATTCCTGTGTTCTTTGCTCCTTGCCACCCTGGTTGGATAGCCCTGCCTGGGGCAGCAAAGGCCCATTACCAGCACCTCCTGCTGCAGCAGCTGGTAGCAAGGGGAGAGCAGCTGGCAAACTTCTCCCTCTCTTGCAGTTCCTTTGCTGTGGGAAGCACTCTCCTTTTGGGGACACAACCAGTGTAGAGAACAAGACATGCCCACCCGACCAAGTGCATGATGAAGGACAGGTAAGGGAAAGGATTCTCCCACACCATAGTGTGGTTGTGCCTCTTCTTTCTAGCCATCAAAACCTCACTGGTGCTAAAGTGTTAATGAGAATTGTGCTTTTTGATGGTTTGGGGTTGAAACAGGTTGGGATTTGTTTTGTTGTTTCAATAACACTGGACACAGTATGGGAGTAGTGTGTTCAGCTCTGGGGTCCAGCACAGGAAGGACATTAACCTGGGTGGAGCAAGTCCAGAGGAGGCCACCAATATGATCAGAGGGATAGTGCATCTCTCATACAAGGAATGGCTGAAAGTATTGCTTTTGTTCATCCTGGAAAAGAGGCAACATGGAGGAGACCTAATTGTATCATTCTAGAAAAGGAGAAAGATGGAGGGGGACTTTTTGCAGGAGAATGTAATGACAGGACAAGGGGGAATGTCTTGAAACTGACAGTAGTTTTAGATTAAATACTACAAAAAAATTACTTACTGTGAAGGTAGTGAGGTACTGGCACAAGTTGCTCAGAGAATTTAGGAATTCCCCATCCCTGGCAGTATTTAAGGCCAGATGGAATGGAGCTCTGGGCAATCTGGTCTAGGGAAAGGTGTCCCTGCCCATGGCTGGGGGGTTGGAACTGGATGGGATCTTTAAGGTCCTTTCCAACCTAAATCATTCTATGATTCTGTGAATTAGGAGGAAGAGCCCTGGCAGATCAGCAGGTCTCAGACTCACAGATGCAATTTCCTTCACTGCTCTAGAAAGCTTTCAAAATGCTTGTGTTTGCAGCCTGTCACTTCCCTCCAGCTTCCTGTTCATCTCCTGTGCTTGCAAAGAATGTGAGATATCACAGGCATGTATCAGAGCACAAAAAACCCTGTTTGACTTCTCCACATGACACTAATTTCTGACACTTAAAATGTGTTCCACTTAACAGTAAATGTGGACTTTTATGTAATTCCTTTTTCTCCAGGGCATTAAATAGGTATTAAAATGAGAAGCTCATGAAGCAGGGTGATGATGCCCAGCAGTAGCTTCCTCAAGTACTTTTCATTCTGGCTCTTTCAAGTATCTCAGTGAGGCTGCTGGTGAAGCCACCAGTATTAGACTGTTGTGCACTGAAGCTGCAACTTCATATTCTCTGAGCATATCTATTGTACGATTATGTTTCTTCCACCAGAGTAGATAAAGCCACCAGTGTCAATATATGGCGTTTCTAGGAAAAACAAAGGCACGCCGCTGCAGCGATACAACCACATTATCAGGTGAAGATGTCAAGTGCTAACAGCACATGTGATGCACAGGCGCACATCAGCACGCAGGGGCAGCGTTTCAAAGCACAGCCTCCAGGAATGTCACATCCCAGGGCAGGGTGGAACTCGGCTCAAAGAGCAGGAAGGGAGAGCAGAACAAAGCTGGACACCGTATGGGCGACTCATTCCTCCCACTTAGTGGTCTGTTTCCCTCGCTTGGGAGCCGGGGAAGTGAGTGGGAGGATGTGCTACGTCTAACACAGGAAACCGCAGAGTTTGGTGGCCACACTACATTCACTTCTGGCTTTGAATGTTCTTTCCTCATTCTGCAAGTCCCTTCATCAACGGCATGCTCTTGCATTTCTGAAATGGCTGTCTTGGCTAACACCTCAGGGATTTCTGTGAGACCATTGGTATGATTAAGGATAATTATTAATGCTTGCAGCACCTCGCAAAATCAAGCTGTTCATTAGTAACCTTGGGGAGTGCATTTGGCATTGGCGGTGTGCTCTGCTTTTCTATCTTTCCATTTCCTTCTTTCTGTTTTTTCAAAAAAAGCTTTTGCTTTCCCACACTTAAGCACGCATCTCCCACAGTCCAAAGTGCATCATACCAATAAAATTGTAGGTGTGTTGTAGTAACAGAAAAGATACCACAGATGTTTGTCTTCCCAAGCTGCAGCAGCTGCAGAAAAAGGGAGAACTGCCTGGCTGTGCAATGCTGCGCCCCTTTTTTGCCTCCTTTTCTCTCTGAGACTGTGGAAGTGCTGTTGTGAGGATAAAGCCCCCCACCAAGCTGCTGTTGTGCTGCAAGGGGTATTTGTTTCTCTCTTCCCAGGACTGCCTGCGAGAGATCCAGGACTTTCTGAAGAAGCACATGGACTTTGTCTTCTTGCTCCTGGGCATCACCATTGGCCTCACGGTAACAGTGTCTGTCCTTTCACATTTTGGCCCTGAAAGGCATGATGCAGTGAGGCAAAAGTATACTGAATTAGCCCCCAGAAGCTAGAATTTTGGATAATTTTGGATGCTGGCAGCAGAGAAACAAGCAATGGTGGGCTCCATGGAAATTGGGAAAGGGTCAGGAATCTGGCCAGGTTGATAGGTGGAGGGGTTTTCCTGCAGGAAGAGGCTCTTTGCATGGTTTTTGTGCCCTAACAAGGCATGACATCTGGGAGTGAGCAGCAGGATGCAGCAGCAGTTGCATTTCATCCACTCAGGCTTGCCTGCATGACTTCTGAGAGCGAGAGACCCTGTTACCTTGCTAGGGGCTTGTGGATTATGTAGGAAGCCAGCAGCAATGGTAGAAAAGGAAATGCAGTAAAGCCTTCATATTTTAGGAAACTTGCTACCTCCTAAATCAACTTGGGAAAAGTTGCTTGTGCAGAAAGAGCTGGGAGGTCTTGAGAACTGCTGAGCACCAGCAGTGGAGTTAGCTGGAGAGCTGTGCAGAAGGGGAAGGTCTCATCCTTATAATGACCACTATATGAGTATGATGAGGTTCATCTCAGGCAATGTGTGGGTAAATCACAGGCTCATAAGGAGCAGGCTGCAAAGGAGAGGGAAAGAGTGTGTTGTCTGGGCTCCCAGGTTCTGTCTTTGAAGGAATAACATGCAGAGGAGGGGTGAAATAATCTTCAGATGATGGCTCATATAGAAAGGCTCCGCAGTTAGTTTTGGGGAGAACAAAAGAGAAGATTAAATGCTGCAGGAGAAGCATGTATTTCAGTGGTGAGGGGGCTCTGGGGCTGCATGGGGATTATCTCTTTGGAGATGGAGAGGGACACTAATTAAAACCAGCCTTCTTGTTTGCCCACCCACTGCTTGGCAGAGGTGTATACTGTAATTACCTGTACACAAGGACTCTGAATGTGTGGTGGTGCACACCAGAGAAGAGCATGTGCCAGGAGACTCCCTTTTCCACCATGAAGGCAGATTTGACCTGCTGTGATATCTCCATACTGCTCCCCAGCTGGGATGACCTTTCTTGATTGAAAGTGTATTTGAAAATTGTTTTATGCCTTGTGTCCACCTTGGCACAATTATGGATTAGAAGATTCTTCTCCATCTAAATAAAACCCAGAGGAACAAATAATTTGTATTTTATACTGATAGCAGTAAATTAGGAAAACCATCAGGCATTGCTATGGAGATGTAAATGTAAAGTCGTGTGAATATTTGGTGTCGCAATTTTTCTCAAGTATAGGGAGAATTTCACTGCAGCTATATTCAGATAAAAGCGGGAGCACTTTTATAATAGATATACTTTTTTCACAGCTTGATGCTATAGCCAGATAAGGCAGCTGTCTTTGAAGCCTGTGCTAGAGGACATCTCTCAGCACAGTTCACTATTGTGATAGCAGGATGCAAGGGAAGCACATAAAGAGAGCTATAGCTGCTCTGATGTCACTGTCCCTCGGCCAACAATGCACACACATCCCCAGATCAAGCTGCAAGCAAAGACATTAGCACATTAGGGCATACTTGAAGAAGGAGCACATTGTTACAGCCCTCATTATCCTTCCCACAGCAGCCTTACCCTGGATATGTTGCCTGTGTTAATCCTGATGTGTGATATACCTGGCACAGTATCACAATAGAGAGGAAGTACACTGTCCTCTGCATTCATAACTGTTTGGGGTTGGTTTGGGCATTTGTCTGCTTGTTTTGTTGGGGTTTTTTCTTCAAACCAGACATTGGTGTTGTGGTCTTTTCTCCCTATGGTATTTTTTCAACAGGCTACTTTATGAGGGAGGTATGTTTGTTTGCATAGAAGAATGTTCTGTGGCAGGAATTAAACCTGAATTTCCTGGTTTCATCTTATTTCTTGGTATTTTTAGGGCCAGGCTTGAGCTGTGCTAGGCTAATTCCAATCAGATGTTTTAACCACGTGTTACTTTTTTTTTAAACTTCCATGTCAGAAATGGAGTTCAGCACTTCACTTAAAACCAGCTCTCCTCAGAAAAATGTGACAACAGGCAATATTTATGATTGCTTATTTGCACAGATGGAGCATCATAATCAGTTACACACATAACTGTATGCCTATCTTATTTATTTCCTTTTAGGTTTATGGGATGTTCCTAACTTCATTCCTCTGGTTCTCCATCCACTTCAGCAGCAACCTGTACCGGAAAGGCAAATACATCCTGCGAGAGAGGTAGAAACCTGAGTCCTTGGACATCCCTACCAGACAGAGCCAGCTCTTGGCACAGGAAGATGTCTGAAGTCACCCACAAAATGCCCTGGGAAGGTATTTTGTGGGGTCAGGTGGTGGGATGTGTGTCACACATTTCCCTTTCCTGCACTACTACTGGGCTCAGAGATGCAGATTCCCTCAATGGGAGATGTACCTTGTATACCCACCTTGTGGGCTGTGGCTCCACAAGAAGGACACAAGGAGTTCTTTACAACTAAGTGGAGAGAAAAGCCCAGCAAAAATCACAGCATTAAACCAAACTTCTCTCATGCTGTCATCTGAACAGTTTCCTGTGACCCCCAAAGATGCAATGTTTCTAGGAAGATGGCTTTGGACCGCAGCCCAGGACCAATGTTGCACTATCAGTAAATAAATGAAGGGAAGTGTGTCACCACTGATAGGAAATGTGCACTCCCAGCCTGGACACTTGCAGTGATTAACTTTGGGCATGTTTCTGATGATGCTGGGGTACATAGGCATCCAATGACTGTCAGCTAGTATTTCCATTTTCAAATGCTGCCAAATTTATAGAACTTTTGGTAGAGATCAGGACAAAATGTCAGAAAGTAGTGAATGAGCTTTGAAACAACTGACCAACAGAAGGACATATTTCTGTTATTCCTCCTTGCTAATGCAATACAACTTTTTTTTTTTTTTTTTTTTTTTTTTTTTTTTGAATTTTTTTTTTTTTTTTTTTTTTTTTACTTCTTAGGATTTAGTCAGCCTCCTAAGTCTTGATGCCACACGGATTTCTCAAGGGCTTGTTAAGCCACACCTGTGTCTTAGGCCCCTTAATTTAGGAAGGATGTTGAGATGCTCAAACACATTCAGAGAAGGGCCAGAAGGCTGGTTAGGGGTCTAGAACACAAGCCCTGTGAAGACTAGCTGAGAGAGCTGGGGTTATTTAGCTTGGAAGAAACAAGTCTCGGGGTGACCTTATTACTGCCTATGACTGCCTGAAAGGAGGGTGTAGTCAGGTGGTGGTTGGGCTCTTCTCCCAGGCAACCAGTGACAGGATGAGAGGACACAGTCTTAAGCTGTGCCAGGGGAAGTTTAGGCTAGACATTAGAGAAAAATTCTTCACAGAAGAAGAGATTGGGCATTGGAATGGGCTGCCCAGGGAGGTGGTGGAGTTATTTAAAAAAACAACTCCCTGGAGGTGTTTAAAAAAAGACTGGACGTGGCACTCAGTGGTGTGTTTAGTTGATAAGGTGGTATTAGGTCATAGGTTGAACTTGGTGATCTCCAAGGTCTTTTCCAACCTGGCTGGTTGTGTGATTCTGTGATTCTGTAACTTCTGGCCCCAGCTCTATGTTTATCAGGCTTTGCTAACCCACTGTGCTCTTGTGGTAAAAGGACTTTGATATTACACATACAAACAGAAGGTTAAATCTATAAGAGAACAGGACTGATCTCCAGCCAGGTCAAACAATACAATGTCCAACTCCACGTCCTTTTTACATCACTTTATCAATAATAAACAATTTGTAAAAGGCTGTCAGTCTAACTGAAACAACAGCTCCCTGGCATGCTGTCGTGGTTTGACACGGAAATATGTCCTCATATTGAGAAGAGCAGCTTCTGAGCTGAAACCTCTCATTGCAATATATGTAGCACCTGCTGTAAATTATATGGCTGTGTGAAATGTCTGTTGAGCCAGCAACAGCTTTCACTTCTCTCATACATAGTGGATTTTAGGCATGAAAAATTGTAAGTAGCAATTGTTTACTGAGATAAACATGGACAGCCCTGTGCTGATGTTCAGGACAAGTCCTGGCCCTCTGGCAAAGGCTGCTGCATGTACAAGAACAGCAGTACAGCCTACAGCACCTGGCTGGCATTAAAATCTGGGCTGCAAATACTTTGCATTGGAAAGAGTTGTGTTGTGGAGGGCTGTCACTTCTCACTCCATGCCCTTGGAACCAGGAGAGCTTCATGGCTGACTTCACTGGAAGCAGAATGAGGTTCAAACTGTCCCAGTGTATATTAAAGCTACCTCCTAGCAGTCACCAACACACCTCAGTCTGGCAGGGAATTGGGTATGACATGCACTTCCCACTTCACTTTCTACTGGGGAGGTATTCACTTACACGTGTATATGTATCATCATGTATATTGATCTCTGGAAAGAGACAATCTCCCTTGTGAGCTCCAGCTGCTACTCTCAGGCCACTGCTATTGTTATTCCTCAGGCCAGCTGACAACTCATGTGACTCATGGTTGCTTCAATAAAGATGAATTTCTTGCAAAAGGCCATCATTCCTCCTCTTTTTTGTGCCATGCATGAAGCTGCCTGTGTTGCTTGGGGGTTTATGTCATGGGAGGGATTCAGTATTTCTTTCAGTGCTGGGAAGAGATGCTCTCCAGGCAGCTTGTGCTTGCCTGTCCCAGCACAGTGTGCTGGATGCAGTGGATGGCCTTGGTCCTTTGGAGGAAAAGGAGCAGCTCATCAACCTTGTCCCACCCTCAGCCAGCTGATGGGCCAGCAGGCTGGCACCTCTCAAGGAGTAATGCAAGCAGAGGCAGGAAAAACATTTAAGGACATGTTTAAGCTGTAACGACCACAGTATTTCTATGGAACAAAATGTCTATGGTTTCACTTTTTTTAAGGATTAGTTAGTCAGGTCTTCCACACTGCAAAAAACATCACGGACAAATTGGTGGAGTTGGTGTCATTGTGTGGGTTACCTGCTCAGGCCTCCTCAACGGGTACAAAAAATCTTTGTTAAAGCATCACCACCAGGACTGCTGAACCTTCAGGTGCTCTGTCTTCCAAGGTCAGTTTTTAATGAAAAGGCATAGTTGTGGACTGGACTACCATATATATTGTGAAGGTATCTGCTTTTCTGCTGCTGAAAATTACAGAGGGATATCACTGCAGGGTGGCAGGAGCCCCTGCTGCTACACACAACACCAGCTCTGGCAGAAGAATGTGTTTCAGCTACTGACCATCTCATGAGCTTTATTCCCATTTCACTGGCTGCTACAGCTCCCCTGGAAGGAGCAGCACCTTCAACAAGAAAGTGACAGAACCATGCCCAGTTGGACACAGTCTTCTTTCAGCATTTGTGTTGTGTGTAGCAGCAGGGATAGGATGGAATCCCACTATGATTTTCAGAAGCAGAACAGCAGATACCTTCAGTTCCTTGATTTTTAGAAACCCGTTACAGAAATGTGCAGTGTTAACATTTTGTTCACAGTTGTAGAAGTAGAAGCACTGAGGGATGGCTGGATGGAACCTGCAGAGTGGGTGAGTGTTAAACAGTGTTTTTACACCTCTGCCAACAAAAAATCCCTGTCCTACAATGAATGTTTTTGCACATACTAGTTACTAATTTTCTGGTGGCTAGGGGCAAATTACAGCTCTTGTGTGACCAGAGCAAAACCCCAGGAACTTATTGATAAGTGGTGCCAAGATTTACACAGTGTTGAGAAGAGTGTGCGAGAGATTTTGTTGGGAGAAAAGCATGGAGCTGAGCACTGGGGATGCAAACCTGCAGCCAGACAAGGAAACACCTGCAGAGCAGTGAGCCTTCCTGGGGCTTGCTCTAGAGGAAGCTGTTTGTTATAAGCATGTCAACACCCACACTCTGGTAGGAAAGAAATCTTATTTATGTAGGCATATATGGGAGAAAAAAACATAGAATTTTCAGACCAAAGGTACAAAATTAAATACTCAGTTGTGAATTGGCTCCAGCTACTTGTCAATTAAGTTGCAGCAATTATCAGTTATTTCCACTAAGATCACCTGGGCACTTGCAGTCTGCCTCTCTCTCAGCATGCATTAGCTTCTGCTCATGAGCTACTTTTTTCCTTTTACTTTAGACAACCCCCCAGCTCTATCTGAGGACACAGAAAGAGGGACCAGCATAAGGCTGCTCTGGCCTGTGTGGCCACCTTTGGGACTATCTGTAAGCCTGCGGGGCTGGGGAGCATCAGCCCATAGGAACAGCAAGCACCTTTTGTGCAGCTCTCCACCTTTCACTGCTCAAGCACTGCTCTGCCAACAGGGGCATTAAATTCCATGGAGACCCTACATGGATCTCACCATATGCTCATGGCTGAACTGACCACAGCTTGCTTATGAGCCAGAGGAGCTTTGCCTGTTTTTCCATTCTCTCTGATGGCAATGGATGATGCTTAGAGCACTTATGGAAAGCACTGGTTAAATAATACAGTAACTCTATACAGAGATTTGGTGGTGAGGAGAGTGAGAATCTTTCAGTCTTGTGGTGTGCTGTCTTGACTTCAAACTGCTTTGCTATTTCCTGCTCTTTTGACCTTGTGTTTAGAGTTCCTACTGTCCTTGAAATACAACTTCCTCACACAGCAGACCCTTCACTATGCAGCTTGGATTGATGCCTGCAGCATACTCCTAGAGAAGACACTGCTGAGCAAGTCCTTCCAAAGCCTTAGAAGCTGACAAATCTGGGTGGACTCTTGCAGTGCTGGAGTGTAAGGAAGCCAACTCTTGCCAAGGTAAAGCTGTATTTGTAAGCTGCAGACACACAAAATAATTTTGGAAGTTAATAGTTGATAGACACATGTTTTTTCTAACCAGGTGCAGAAGTAATGCATTTGGAAAAGCAGCTGGCTATAATTCTCCTCTAGAAATGCAGCCAGAGGTGGAAGATGCCCCACACAGATCTTGGCCAGCACAGCTGAAAGCACTTGAGGTCAGAAGCTGCTGTGAACACAGTTAGAGCGCACACATCCTGCAACTTTCATCTGAAGTGTCATTGCAGCTCTCTCTGTTCATAAAATGCAGCTGGGGGGAAAAGTGATCTATTTCTTAACTGTGTAGTTCCTCTTCAGGCAGAATGAGCAACTGGCAGCAAGGTTCAAACCCGTCCGCTGAGAGATGCAGCAATGTGTGGGACAGCAGGGAAGAGCCTGGGAGTGAAGAGGGAGCGTTCTGGAGAAGCCTCAGAGGCTGTTTTGGAAAAACACAGGCTGTGTGTGTTTTGCAGCTTTTGGCCAGAGCTGTCAAA